ATGTGGTTAGTTGCAACTATCTTATTCTGTAGCATCTCGTGTGGTCCGTCTCTAGCCACAACCGTCTTCTACACCGGTTACAATTTCCATTTCAACCAGCAATTAGGAGGAGGCCAAGGAAAGAAAAAGAAGAGATAGTGCACAATCTGCTTCTATTCTGCCGTTAACTACAAGCAGAAATGAACAGGGTTAAGCAATTCTGAACTGCGTGCGGCAGGAAATATTGGCTGAGGTTGACTTAAGGCCTGTGAACCGCTCGTTGTGCTTTACTACCAAATCCAGAAACGGAAAGCCCTGAACCAATGGCACATGAACGATATCACCGGGTTGGTCCGAGAGTTGGATGTGCAGCATGAGTCGAGACTTCCCTGAACCAGCATCCTCCGGAAGCATCTCCATCCGGAGTCGACCCTCAAACTCGCTATGCAAAGACATGTTCAACTTCAGATGACAGATCCAGTTCAAGACGTCCTTGTAAAGAGCCCATATCTGCTTGTATATCTGTTGCCGTATTATACTTCCCAGGTTGTAATTGAGCTGAATATTTTCCAACGCTCTCATTCGCAGCAGCATCTCATCGCTGATCCGCTCGGCATATAAACGAGCCAAATCAGGATTATGTTGCATCGGTTCCAGTCGACACTGTTCGCCAAGCTGATGTGGATCGTCCTTTGTCAAATAGCTTTCCATGAACCCCGACTGTGCTCGTGATAGTCCTCTCTTTTGCCGAGCGATCTCATTGCTTGAGAACATATCGCAAGGCATAGGGCCGCGGGGTCGAACACACAAGTAGTATACTCGAGAGAAGGCTCCTATAGCTGATATATACGGCCTGATCTCGAACTTGTTTTTACAGGCAGGGTTTTTGAGTAATTGGAAAAATGTCGGTCTAGTAGGAAATGTAGGCGAGGGTGTATAAGCTTCATACTCTAAAGATCTTTTGGCAGAGTAGCTGGGAATGTATTGCGTATTATTCAGGTGAACGGCATCAGCGAGGAGTGACATGCTGACATGCAGGATTAAGAGTAGAGCCCACGATGGCGTGAAGAAGTTGAAGGCGAGCATGAGGCGGCTTTCGAAGTCTCCTGATAGAATTGAGGAAAAGATGCAAGCGAGTGCGATCAAGAGAGAGTGCAAAGGAATATAGAGAATAGGATAATGTAAAAGCAGGCCTGGCCAAATATAGTTAATGAAGAATCCAATTAATGCATGTGGTAAACGACTCATACTGACCAGATTGGTCTGTCAAGTGGTGTGAGCATATTTTGGCTGCTGGCAGTTATCAGTTACAGTCCACTCCCGCTTGAAAGGAATAAATGAATGTCTTTGCGAAAAGTACACTGTCGTGCCTAAATTTGAGCTGGTCCCCTTACTCGATTTGAGAAGTTGTAATTAAAATTAAACTTTTTCATCTGCAGAGATGGAGGATGTGAGAATTCATGAGCCTAATTGAGAAATGAATGCTAATATCTGCAAACCCATGCTCTCCATCAACAACCATTGGTGCAAAAGTCCACGTTAACTATATTTGCTCAAAGTAGGGATCATCATTTTAAAGAGGACTTGCCAAAATATTATGATTCATAACGTGTATTCACGTTGATCATAATTAGAACCTCATAAGCAACTTGTTTGATGGATTATTTGTTTCAGAAATTTAGCGATAGCTTTGAAGTTCTTAAAACTGGCAGATATTGTGCTATAGACACAGATAATTTTGCAAAACATATAGTAGCATAATCTAGGAAATTTCTGGTCAGTAACAATAGGTTCTCAGACTACTTTTTCGAGGCTTTTGCGTGTAATTGTATTCCAATGTGTAAATGGGTCATCTGTTTTTGGCCATAACCACCACAACTCCAAGTGAAAATAACATGGAGCTCAAGACGTGTAATATTAACCGTTGTTCTATAAAAGGACATGCAACACTTTGCAG